TTCTTTACAGTTAGCATTAGTAGGCATATGAGATGACACAGTTACAACAATTGCACATTCAGATTCACTCAAAATTTCGTGGTAACTAATGTGAGGGTACAAATCTATAAAGAGAAAGAATTATCATAAAATTATAATTTTATGAAAGAAGTCTTTCATACATTCATGTATAAAAATTCTCAGAATAAGAAATAAGCAGAGAAAGATTACTTATCTAATAAAGACAGTCTATAAATTTAAATTCTCAATTAGGGACAATCTGTATGGTTTACGGAGGGCCCCACCTCAGTGGGGTATAAACATGAGTTGGCATTGTTGTTTCTCAGGAGCTGCCCTCCCCAGGTAAGTTGAACATCCCTTTTCTCCTGGGTGGTAGCTCTCTTATTTTGCTCCTATACATTTTCATCCCTTTCTGTTATGAGAAGTCTCTCGTGCCAGCATGTAAGTAAGAGTTGGTTCTGTCTGACAGCCCTCTGCTGCTTGCTCAGCCTGTTTCTCTTTCTCTGACCAGCCATGGAAACCAGACTGACACAGCGCCTTCTGTGGCAGGAGTTCTGCCTCATGACCTAGTCACTTCCCAAGCTCCACCTCAAAGTATTGCCTCTTTGGGGGTAAGGTTTCAGCTTAGCATTTTTGGGAGGGCACAGATGTTCAGTCTGCACGATTGACTCAGCACTTATGAGGACCCCTCAGACGGTCTGTAGCTCACAGATTTATTCTGTAGGCTCAGGCCTCAGCAGTCTGATCAGTCAGTGCCAACAAGATGGCCCAGGTCTGATCACCTTCCCTGTTGACACTTTCACTGTTGCTATACCCCATAATGGGTGGCTGGCTGCTGCTCAGCCCTCCTCTCAGCTCTGGAAACACTGTCCTCTTTCTGTCCTCCTGGGGCACCGGGCAGTCTGTAAAAGAGAAGAGTTATCACCCTGGGGCAGGGCTGGGGAGGAGGCACGAATCTCTCTTCCTGACCTGCATGCTTCTCAGAAGTGAGCCTGACATCTCTCTGTACTCCATGGAGCAGGAATGTAGAGTGTTGGAGAGAAGTTAGATGAGTCTGTCTCTGTCCCTAGGGGTTGCTTCACCCCCTAACCTGTGGCAGCACTCTAAGCTCGGAATGTCAACTACGTTACTCA